ACTCTCATTATAATTTATTAAACATTAATATTTCAAAAACTATAAGTTGCACAGGCACCAAAAGGCATAGCCATCATTTGGCATGGGAGCTTTACAAATACAAATTACAATGGCWGCTCTAGGACAAAGTATGCAGGAAGAGAAGCATGGCAACATTGAGATGACTTGGATGGGAAACGAATCACAATAGTGGGCAATGCACACTGATAATAACTAAAATACAGAGGTTTATAAGTACATTTACTTCATTACATACTTAAGTAGTTTTTTTGAGGATTTGTCATTTTACCATTTTTAAATAGCTATTTTTACTTTTATTTCATTACATTTTAAAGCTAAACATGATACTTTTACTTCTTTACTTTAAAATGTAACACCTCGTTACAAAATTAAATATGATCAAATTCATCATGAAAGATGATGTTTCTGCACTCTAAAAAATCAAGTGTTGAATTTACTCAACAAAGTCGAGTCAACTGTCTCCTCCAAGCCTAGTCGAGTAAATCCAGMAAAGAATATTCATATTTTGCTCAATTTACTCAACTTGGCTTAGTGGAACCAGTAAATTCAACAGTTTATTTTTTAGAGAGTGTGTAAATGTACTTTTACTTTCTCGATTTTTGTGAACAGTTTTATGACTTCTGCTTGAGTAGTTTTCTCATCAGTGAAGTTTAATTTTACCAACGTCATTTTCTGTTCAGGTAATTTTACTTTTACTCAGTTGTTGTTTTTTTTTTCAAGTATTTTATAGACCTCTGCTAAAATATAATGCACTAATATTTATTGGGGGGTGTTTTTGCAATGATAATTGGAGCCAAATTAAACTATTTTCCAAGAAGCTCTTTAAAGGAAAAACTGCTTGTTTGGATTTAAAGATCTTGATTTTTCAGATCCACGTCTCAAGACCACAGCTGAGGCCTGGAACACATGGACGGACCAAAGCTTTGCCTTCTGGCTCAAACAAGAGAAAAAAAGAAAGAAGCAAAGAAAAGAACTGATTTAACTGTAAAAGATGCGTGTTGTTTTAAAAAAATCAAGTATGAGTCACACAAAGCAAAGAAAAGCATCTCATTGGATTATATAATCTGCTTTATAATGCTTGAGATCTGCAGCCTCAGTTTTTATTAAATATTCAATCTATGAAGCCTCTGAAGGGGTTTTGTTGTGCTGATAATGGTGGGTGCAGGATGGATCAGAAGTCCTTCAGTCTGAACACAAAGGCCATGTGTGTGTTGGCATCTTAAAGAGGGGATCGTTTACCCAGTGAGGCCTCCCTCGCTGGTGGGGGCTCACCGATGGCTGCAGGGGGAGAGGGGGGAAGGAGGAAAGTAACGGGGGGTGAAGCACTGGATTGGAGCAGGCAAGGGGAGGGTAAATGATCTTACAGCCAGGAAATCTTTTTGTCCAATCTTCAAATAGTTCTGTGATTGATCTAAAACCAAAGCCTCATTAACTGTGAAGGTCTCACTTCAGTTTGTTTTCCACAAGGTTTTATCTGAACGTCAGAGACCCCGAGATGTAAGAAGAGATCTGAATCAAACGTTTTACCTCTTAAAATCAAACCTTTTCTGATTCTTTGATTAAACCTCTGCAGATAGAGCAAGTTTGTCTTTGTTTTAGTGGATTGTGCAGAAACCAACGTTGGAGATGTTTTTCCCCTCATGACTTTCTAAACCTGGAATTAACTGACTGAAACCCTGGATGTTCACCCAAGAGATTACAGTTTACGCTCGATATCACAAAACAGGATCCAAATCCAACCCGCCTGTTCACCGTATGTGTTGCTACGGCTCTGAGACACAGAGAAACACAAGAAACAGACAAGAGCATTCAAACAATAATAACAAATGTTCCTCGTAAAACTAATTACTCCAGCTCAAGATAAAGAAAAAAAAATGAGATAAAATCAAAATATGTTGCCCTTTGCTGCCACCTGTTGGTTATTTCAGGAAGTACATCTCAGACATCATAACCAGCATGTTACACTGAGAAATATTTTTCCATTAATACAATTCAACCTTTATTGGTTCATTTTAAACAATTATCATGTTCTATGTTTTACCCAAATACACACAACCTCAACACAAAGGATTAACTGACAAAAACAGTAAAGCTGAGTCAACAGCAGCTTTAGCCCTCCAGCTCTGTTTTCCTTACTTAGTTACATAATGTTGTAATATTGTTTGTTAGTTTTGTTCAAATTTAAAAGAGTAGCGACGTATTATTATTATTATTATTATTATTATTATTATTATTATTATTACAGAATTATTGGACATTTCCCAGATACAAAACAGTAGACATCATAATATTCTTGTCACTAAAACTAAGCAAACATGAGAGCGAAGCATCGTGGTCAGTCTTTAAACAAAGCTTTGCCCTCGCTTCTTAATCTCAGGTCAGAACTGCCACAAACTGCATGGTGCTGAGCAGGACCGGAGATGTTTGGACTGTGAGGGTTTGGTCAGATCCTTCATGTGATCAGATGTTCTAAAGTGTGGCAACAGAAATAACTGTCTTTAAGCAGCGTCCATCCAGCTGCTGAGATGAAATCAAAACTTTAAAATCTTAGATCCAGTTATTACATCTGCTGCAACCGTCCCCTGGTGGGTTTTTATTTCACTCTTTGTCAAATACAGTATAAAAAGTTAACTTTGTGCACTAAAGAAGTCCACGTTTAATAAAAAACTTTTTGCTGCCATGACATTTAAAACTTTTGTCATAATCTTTTAAATAAAACACAAGAAAGTCACAAGTCAGTCATTCAAAGTGAGGCTATTTATAAATTAAAGGAGGATTATTCTGTATTTTCCAGGCACATATTTCAATTCTATACCAAAGTCAAGTAACTWTGTAGCCTTCAGTTGTTATAAAAATGTTGTATATCAAAAATAAATTCGATTTTGCATCATAACCTATCTAATTGTCTTGAAATTGGACAACCAATTTGATGTGTTTTCTTGTTGTGAACTTTAAAGGGTTAAGAACCTCCTACCATTTCAGATAATCCCACTTCAGCTCATCTTTACAACAATGTTTCTGGGGAGGGGTGCTCTGTGGGGCGGGAGCTCGGCTGCAGACTGAGCTCCAGGGAGGAGCTTTGCGTCAATGGGTGGAGCTTTGTACCTGCAAATGTTTAGGCAGCGCCGCATGGCTACAACAGGAGAATCAAGGATTTATCAAACACGAATGAGTCAAAGCAACACTCTGAGTGTGTTTTGGATGAGGGGAAATTATATAATATAAAGCTCAAAAATGTCAATTTTGCACAAAACCCCTCCTTTAATAAAACAACAAAAAGTCAGTTCTGAATCTTTTTATCACACAAAGTAAATCTCCTGACATCAATCAGTAAATCAATCATTTTCATTTGTACCAAGAAAAACACAAGACATATGGACATACAGTGGACACGACATGATTAAAAAGTGACCAGGTGCTCATAAAACTATAAGAATCAAAGATAAAAACAAGATAAAATCAAATAAAATATATAAAACAAGGAAGAATAAAAATACTAATTGATATTATGTTATACTGTGTTGAGTTTAAAAAGCTAATTGCAGCTGGGACAAAGCTTAGTTTAAAACACTTAGTTTTGCATTTTGGCACTAAGTATTTGCGTCCTGATGGGAGGAGCCTGAACTCGCCTCGTAGAGGATGAGACTAACCAGACAATCTCTGGACCTGCCTGGAGTACAGGGATTCTGGATTTAATTGCATCTTTCCAGTCAGTTTACTGGACCACCTCACATGACATGTAAATAAATGAACAGAAAGTACTGTTACTTGTTGCATATCTCATATTATAAATCATCAGAAACATCTGCAAAGATGTCAGTTGCTTGTAACCAGTTTGTTGTGATGATAAACCTGCAGAGGGACTCAGAGGATTCAAGTCCCAGCTGAGAAAATTCTCATCTCCCAGCAACAGGGGGAGACAGTAAACAAGAAAACTCTGCAAACCTGGTGAGAAGACACCACTAAATCTCAGTTTATTGTAAATTACATTTAAAAATGTAAGAGTCTGTCTAATAGATAACTATATATTTGGTTAAATTATGTTTGATCACATTTCAATGTTAGTGTTTCATCCTACCTTGACTTGCTTCTCATCCCATGGTCAGATAAAAAGAAAAAACATCTTAAGCATTCAATAATCAATTAATATGCTCATATCTATGAAATTAGTTCGTAAAACAATTTAAACCAAACGTTAACCTGATAGCAAGCTTAACCATATGTTTAATTTTAGTTTTAAACATCATTGTGACTTATTTCAGTCTATAAAGAGACATGTTTAAATGTCACATGTTGCACCATCTGACTGCAAGAGCCAAACTCAGAGTTTTGAAAAATTAAATAAATAATAATAGAACGAGGAAGCTGAAACCACGTTTCTAGACAACAAATGTCTTGTGATAAATTGCTTATAGCAAATGTTTTGTAATTATAAGCTGCTGCCTTTCACATATTTCAACTGCCAACATGTCTTTTGCCAAAGCTGGTGATAAATAAGTGCAGCAGAAACAGAATATATTATTTTTAATGCAAGCATGCAGGGAAAAGTAAAAAGCATTTTGAATATTTAAAAAACGGAGGGGCGATTTAAAAAAATACCATAAATGCTCACAAAACAGAGAGAATTCAGCATTAAAATAATCAAATCTGAAAAATGCTTCAGAATTTGTGGCAGTGATAGGCAGCAGGTTTAGTGATTTTATTTATTTAAGGTGGAAAAGGTGTGGCGTAAGGTTCCAGCGGGGTGATTAAAAGTAATTGTTTTAGGGGGAAAAAACTTTTGTGYAAAAAGTTATGCTTTCAGTTTATTTGTTCATGGCTATGGATTACAAAAATGGCATAAACAGCCCTTAACTGCCAAAAGTTATATTCAAGAAGGGTGTGTGTAAATTGTGACAGTGCTCCACTTTTTCTCTTTTTGCTGTGAATGTTCTGTAGCCTCTGTGTACCTCTGTGTACCTCTGTAACCTCTGTGTACCTCTGTAACCTCTGTGTACCTCTGTGTACCTCTGTGTACCTCTGTATACCTCTGTATACCTCTGTGTACCTCTGTGTACCTCTGTGTACCGCTGCCAGTCTTGGCCAGGATTCTCTTGCAAAATAGATTTTTGATCTCAATGGGATTTTTGTGGTGAAATAAAACAATAAAAATAATCATAAAATAAATCAGGATAGAGATAAAAGTACTGTGGAGATGTCCTTGACTTTCAATATAATGCTAAATATACCAAAAAAAACACATTATGTAGCCCAGTGATTCCCAAACTTGTCCGTTTTTGACCCACGAAACAACAGTTTCAGAGGCCTGTGTCCCCTACTTTTTTTTGATTGATTGATAAATAAACAATAGTTGAGGTGGTTCAGGCATCTAATCAGGATGCCTCCTGGACACCTCTCTTTTGGGGTGTTCCCAGCACATCCCACTGGGTGGAGGCCCTGGGGAAGACCCAGGACTCACTGGAGGGATTATGTATCCCACCTGGAACGCTTCGGGGTCCCCCAGGAYGAGCTGGAAAGTGTCGCTGGGGAGAGAGACGTCTGGGTTTCTCTCCTGGACCTGTTGTCTCCTCGACCCGATAAAGAGTGGAAGAAGATGGAGATGGAGATGATTGGTAAACATTGGTATCAGTTCAAATGAAGAATGGCATCATTACAATATTTATTACACTACTTTGATTAATCTTACTAACTACACTCTTGTAACAACTAAGGCAAAAAAAGAAATGTTTTTTAGAGGTGAATAATTCTGAAAATCTTTTCAAGAACCAACTTTGTTTCAGTACCCCAACCACTTCTTAAGTCCCATGTTTTCTTGATGTTTTTTTTCTCAAAATACCACGCTGAAATGTAACTGCGTGTATCTCAGCATTTACCAACTCTACTTAAATAGCCTTGGTATCAAAATAAAGCTAATATGGGAGATTTCATCAGAAGTGTAAGTATTAAAACAGCTGCTGTGGTATTGGAGATATCGAGGATGGAACTTTTTTTTATTCCCTCCTATCCGAATAATTTTTGCATTTGACGGTATATAACCCCTTTAAAACCATAATGAAGCAGGTCAAAAACTCTTGGAAACCATTAATSCACTTGTGGACATCATGTGTGAAGATTCATGCTGCTAAAATTAACTGGAGCAAAGTTACAAAGGAAGAAATAATTTTGCATTTTGTCATTCTGCGCAGGACAGATCATAATGTTACCATTAATAAATGTTGTTTTTCATTGCAAAAGTTATTTATTTTTTCTTACCTGACTGAAAAGACTTGTTATTGTTTGTTCTTTTGAAAAATTATCCAAACATTTATTTGTCACCATATACTGAATATTGAGAAATTATATTTGACTTCAGTTGGATCATATTCACTCAAAACCAAATTAAAAAAAACTTTCAACACACCTTACAACCTATTTTGGTATCTGCCGTGTACGACGGAGTATTAGGGCCACTTTGCAAATGAAAAAAAAGGAGAAGCAAATCTCTGAGAAAACTGCTGAAATCACCACACACTGAAGCTTCACATATCAAACATGTTTCAGAAATCACACACTTGGTTTTAAATATTCTGCAATCAGTGTAGAATAATCTAGCCCAGGTAGTCTCGACGTGTTTTAGTTTTTAATCTAGAGCAGATTGAAGATGCTCAAGGCAGTGAAAACAGTTGGAATTTAGTCCTGAAAACTTCAGTTTTTTTTTCCTCATAACTTTTACAAGTTTTTTTTCTTGTAAATTTCTGACTTTACCATGTCTGAAAACATTTAGTTTAAATGTTGCAAATTTCTGCCTTTAATTATGAAAATGTTTGATTTTTTTCTCAAAAATTTGCGAATTTTCGATGAGAATTTCCTTTTTTTCCCTCAAAAATTTCTGACATTAATCTTGGAAAATCTGAGGTTTGTTTTCTTGCAAATTCACGACTTTTGGAGCTCAGAGAATTTCCTTTTTTTCCCTCAAAAATTTCCTAAAATTAATCTCAGAAATTCTGAGTTTTTTCTCAGAGATTTGCTCCTCCTTTTTTTATCTGCAAAGTGACCCTAATACACCGTCACAGCTTTGACTTACTTTAAAAACAAATGTCTTTTTTTTTTCTTTACAGGTTTGTTGTAATGTATCTACAGATTTGCAACAATCCCATTTTGTACAGTTTGTTTACCTCCTGATTCAACTGACTGTCATTTGAACTGTGTTTGGTGAATGTAAATATAGTTTTCATGGRKTTTTAGTCAAGATTCTTAGCTTTCTATTGATACCAAACATGTCCAGGTTAAACTTACAGAAGTTAATATAGAAAATGATAAATGCTGTTTTGCTCAAGAGGCTAGCCTACAAAAATGGTGGCACTGTGGGGGCCAACAGAGGCAGCCCCCTCTGTGGAGTTCCCTAGAACCGCCGCTGGATSTGCGGGCACCGGGGATGGTGAGGTAAGGCCTCCGAATGTGCTGCTGTGAAGAAGTGACTCATAAAACAAATGAGAGATATTCAGCATCAGCACAGCGAGGCCTCCTGCTTCAAGAAAAAGTCCTGACACAGCAATATGCCAGTGGAAACAGCGGAGCATGCACCAGAAAACCGAGTGACCTCTGGTATCACAGTTTCCTGAAAAGCGCCTCGTTTAAAACCAGGCCAAGGTTCACGCACACTTTCCTTTGAAATGTGCAAACCTRCATTCAAAAGTCTTAAGTCTGATATTTAAAAATAAATAAATAAAAATCAGCGGTGTGGCGGAGCTGCAGCCCGGAGGAGGAGGAGGAGGGAGGGAGGGAGCTGCAGGCAGCAGCGGACACCAAAGTCTCGGGCTGTCACCTCCCATCCCGTCGGGCTGTCAGTTGACAGCAGCACACATGAACATCAATGCCCGCTGAGCTGGAGCTGACCACCCGGTGACATTACGTCGTGTCCACCGCTGCTTCGGTGTTTTCTGTGAAACGGGGCGAGGACATGACAGGATACACCCTCGTCATCCCCGCGGACCACTAGCTCCGACCGCGTAGGAGGGCTGAGCATCTGCGGCTAGTAGCCGTTAGCTTCGCAGGCTAGCGGCGGCGGTGAGCGGAGGCTGCCTCAGCTTTATGCCGTCATATGGCGAGCGAAGGTCGGGGAGACGCGTCTCTGTTCGTCCGCAGCGATTAGCTAAGACAAACGGCGTCWTTTATTTATCATTTTAACGTTTTATTTCAAGGGTGAATAACAATTTGTTGCTAATTTTCCCCGGTGATTTACGCCTTTCATGTTGCTTTTGTGTATAATTTTATAAAAAATATATATCGTTGGTGTTTGCTAACCTAGCGCTACACGGAGCTAATCGGCTATGCTAACGCCAGCTCACTGAGAGCTCCAGACGTGTCGAGGGAAGGAAGAGCGTTGATGCGGGCTGGAGGGAAGAGACTGTTTTAAGGTGAATGAGAGCAGCTCTGTTGGTCATCCTGTTTTCAAAGTTAGCTTTAGCCAGGCTGTGTGTGTGTTGGGGGCGACTTGGGTCACTTTGGGTTTGCGAACTGGCCAAATGAACAGTGTTGGTGTTCTCGAATTGTGAGCTAAACAACACCGCATCATCACCATCGCCCCCAGAGACTGCATCCACCAGCCGGTCTGCTTGAAACATGGCTTCGGCAGGAGGCATCGCCGCAGCCATTGCCAGCAAAACGAAGACGAAGAAAAAGCACTTCGTCGCCCAGAAAGTGAAGCTCTTCCGCGCCAGCGACCCGCTGCTCAGCGTGCTTATGTGGGGAGTCAATCACTCGGTGAGTCCCGTCTAAYATCCCCATGATGGTCCCAGCATCGTGTCTCCCTCACGCTTTTTGATGCTCCACATTWAGTCTTGTCTGCTGTCAAAGCCGAGTCGTTGTGTTGTTGCTGCTGAACGTCAAATAGGAGATGTCAGCTGTCAGTGTGGCTGAATGCAAGTGTGCTGCTTTAGTTAAAGAAGATCAGATCTTTACTTACTGAGAATGGTAAGGTCAAAACAGTATTATTGTGGATGTTGTTCAACTGAACAAGTTGTGCAGTAAAATGAGGCTTTGGCTTACTGTCGTTCACATCTGTGCTACTTTTCTATGATTCTGAGGCACAAGGAAGCAGATCTTCAACAATAGTCATCTCAGGGTGCTGTCAGAAAACATTTACATACATTACAAAATGACATTTTGCCATTAGAGTAGGGTATTGGCCAAAAAAATTAATCACGATTAATTGTATTTAGCCAATAACCAGTAATATGACGATTAATCCCCTGGATGCCCTCATATCCTAGTCMCATGACCGATTGAAATTACTCCAGTSGGAAAGATTTAMTCTTTGTAAAAATCTATAGAGCTGGGCGGTATGACCCAAATTTTAAATCACRGTATTTTCAACAATTACACCGCTTTCACGGTATTTGACAGTATTTTTTTCCTCACAGCTCAGCTGATAATAAAATGTATTTTGCTYATTGACTTTTTTTTCTTTTCCTGTACCTCTTGTTTCCCTCCTCTTGTACGTCTTTTCTTCTTTGCCTGGTTGTAGACAGTAATCATGCATTTAGGTCCGATCATGAAGGGTTGAGAAAAAATCATTATCTGGTCTATCGTTGCGCGTTAATAAAACTTAAAAGGACGACTCACCTTGCACACCAGTCAACCTCGCTACATTACAAATCTAGCTTTTCACAATAGAAGCACGCTAGAGTCTCCATGCAATAACGTCTCCATTATAACGTAGCGCGCTAAAGCTAACTGTGCACGTCACTGAAGAGTTGTTTACTACATTCAGCGATGGTGAAAACGGGATGTTTTTTTTTACGTCAGACCATATAAGCGGCTGAAACACACTACCTGCCGCCAGTTGTTCCAACAATAACGTTAGCATGCTAATGTGCTTAGCGGTGCTGCAAGGAAACGTGTCCCCAGGGAAACAGTTCACTGGCGGCCGCGATGAAACGTTCCGCACGTGTTCAGGCTATTTACACCGGTATTCAGAAAAGTCATATCATAACAAAAGTAAAAACCAGTTTTCGGTACAAAACAGTATACCGCCCAATAGGGCTGCCACAAAAGATTATTTTAATAATCGATTAATCACCAATTATTTATTCGATTAGTCGACTAATCGGATAATACGTTAATTGAATATAAAACATACAGCTTATCACGTCAGAATGCAGCTGCTAATATAAAAACCATGGTTAGATTTTAGCTATATGCTAACTAAAAATAATTGCTGTGGAAGGTAAGTTCTGCTCTGCAGATATTGCACAGGTTTCTCTTTCATTTTCTTAAAATAATCCCACACTTTTGAGCTCTGTTGTCAGGTAGCCATGATACCAGAGCCTGTCTGTATAATGTCTTGTGACGTCCACGGCCTACCCCAGTTACCACTACTGTGCATGTGTGTCAAGGACAGAAAGGCAGACGTGGCAGTGNTGTTGTCAGGTAGCCATGATACCAGAGCCTGTCTGTATAATGTCTTGTGACGTCCACAGCCTACCCCAGTTACCACTACTGTGCATGTGTGTCAAGGACAGAAAGGCAGACGTGGCAGTGGAAGGTGTCAAAGCAGTTTGGAGAGAAAAACAAAGTAAAGAACAAAAAAAATACGATTAATCGATTATTAAATTAGTCATCGATTATTTTAATAATCGATTAGTCGTCGATTAATCGTGGCAGCCCTACCGCCCAGCACTAAAAATCTGTTTCAATTTGTGTCAAAAGCACAGACTTCAGGCTATACATCAGTTTTTAAATTGTGTCAATGGTAAAACCTGAGTTATGATAAATAAATTACAGAACATTTAAAATATATATATTTGTCATATTTGAAGCAAGAAGGAGCAGCGATCGGACTGACCGAGGAAATCTCCAGTCAGTCTGCCCGGTGGCATTAATCGTGTTAATCGTCAAGTGACAAAAAAAAGAAATCGGTTAAAGTTTTTCTGCCAATTAATTGCACACAATCAGATTTTGCCCAAGCCTACATTAGAGTGCATCGTATCTTCACTTGTTTGCAGTTCACGGGCAGGCACACTGGTAACAGTGGGAAGGAATGACACTCTTTTAACGGGAGGAAGCCTCTAACAGAACCGGGTTCAGAGTGAGCGGCCATCTGCCTTGACCAGCTGGGGTTAAAGAACAGGAAAGAGTAGCTTCTGTTGGAATTTTATGTGTATTTATTCCGAGGCAAAGTAAGTAAGCAAGCAGACAAAAACAAATGTATTGCATCATCAACAACATATTTGCGTATGGGTTATATTATACCACACAAAATGATTGTRATGTATTTGATTTCATCATCATAATCAATTATTATGGGAGAAATGTGTTTATTGATGTCAATTTTATTAAAAATGCTGATTCTGTAGTAGGTCACTGGATCAGGTTAGTCTAAAAAACGCTTTATGAAGTTCTTGCTAAACTTTACAACAACTTTATAACATTTAGGGTTTAAGGTACACACACAGAAGCTTGTGAAATCCAGCAGAAATGTGCAAGATTAGCAGAAACTGAGTTGATGCTGCTCTATTTTCTTCATTCAACCTCTTTGGTCTACCACAGAAGACAGCAGTGGTTGTAAAAAAGCTATAAGTGAGATCAGTTAAGCAATAATCTTTGTTTTTACACTGTTATGATTCGAGGCACATCAGCAGAGATGTGCAATGAACATGTTTGAGGTAATGAAATTAATCTGAAAAATTATTGTTTTTTAATTGTTGTAGGCTGTTCTGACCAGAAATATTCCATAGAGAAGTGATAGTTCACCATTAAAATGGTTTACTTTGCCTATTCTATGATATAATGATATGGTATTAGTGGCATAAGTGGAGAAGCAAAAGATTGTTTMATTTTTCTTGTTCAAGTCTGCAGGCGGTTTTGAGTCATGCATTTTCTGGTCAGAATGCTACTTTCCAATTTAATAGCATTTTTTCATAAACCATAATAAATGCTGCAAATTGCATAAAGTCTCAATTTATTCTTTTGTGTCCAGTCCAACTAAAGCAGTTTTTGCAGCACAGCAGACCAAAGATCAACATTCAAACACAGCTCATGCAAAACAAATTCAATCAAAAAACACAGGAAAAAATAAAAGCAAAAAAAAAGTTTTGATGGTTTTATTATTTAATCAGTATTACTTATCTTGTGAATATAAATCATTAGCCAGGCTTAATATTTAGGATTTCAAATACTACACATTCACAGATTCGTTCATGGACTAATGTAATATATAAAGGTTTCAATCAATACACATGTTTTTYTTTATAAGAATAAACCTTTAACACATCCTCAGTGGTTGGATTTTGGTGCTGTTAAGGTTAGAGTTRGGTTTGGATTACAAATCCTCAAAATAGCCTTGTGTATGTAAAGTCAGGAGTGCTAAAGATCTAAAGGTCTGTAACTCTAAGCTGTAGTCTGTAGTTGGATTAGTGTCCAGCTGGTTGTGGTGTTAAGCCTGTGGGGCAATGTAAAGTAAAGTTCACAGCAGGTTTACCTCCACTCATTTTTGCTTTAACTATTCTTTAATTTTTGTTTACATTTTATTTGAAACATATAATATAGTTCTACATTGTTCTGTTTTCCCTGTTAAATATGACTCAAGCTATATAAAATGTCCCATCAAAAATGTTCAGAAATTAGTTTTTTTTTTTACATTTTTAAATTTTATAGTTTTACCCATTGTTGTCCATCAATTTCCAATCAAAGAGCATATTTTATTTATTTTTTATCAGGTTCTGGTGTCTAAGAACTGTGTCAAAGGGGCAGCTGTGTTGAGAACCTGCATGTTCAAACACTTCTCTTGGATTGCATATCAGAATTCCGGCGCTCCACCGGCACATTTCCTTCGTACGCTTCAGGCACTGATTTTTCTCTATTGCCTGAGAAAGAGCTCGGTCTTTGATACTGCCAGCTTCATAAAAAGGAGATTCTGTGTCAGATCACCAGGTTGAGCCATTGGGTTACTAGAAGACTGTAGATTGGCAACATTATTAGAGGGTTACTTACTGCAGCACAGAGATTGCAAAAGTGACCTCAATACTTAAATAGCAGGACAGTGCGATAGAGCAGGGGTGAGGCCTTAGATTACAATCAGACGTGCAAATACATGCACAAATGTACGGGTTACTCACCCCCTCGCCTTGGTTTGTAAGCCAAAATGCCTCCTGCTGAGGTCTGAGGTTTAACTTGTTGGTCATTTATCTGCTCCAGTTATGACATAAGATCCACAGATTTCACACAAAAAAGACTATTGCAAATATATCTGTGCAGCGAACAATAAAAACAAGTCTGCTACTATTGATTTGATTTTGATTTATTGATTTAACAAAGATCACTAATAATAAGCCTGCCTCAGCATAATTGCTGTTTTACAGCAGGTTCCTGTTCTGCAGCACATAAAACACTCAGAATTACAGCATCACAATCACATCATTATACACCATAGACACAAAGACAAACAAGCATACCAAATTTCAGGATGTCCCATTCTAACTTAGCCTGGTCAAAACCAGACCCTGTCCTTCACTTTGCTTCGTACTAGGATCTGGACTTGATGCATAGACAAGCGTTTCATGCAGGAGGCGTGGCCTCTGCTGAAGCTTGTATGTGTTGTCGCTGTGACGGAGGCTAAGCTAAGAAGCTAATCGGAAGTCRCGTGTGCTGTAAACARCCCTACTGAGAGGAGAAAAGTACAGAACCGAACGAGACGATTGTAAATGAGAGCTGCGGCTTTGTGACAAATTTATTTTAATTTGGAAGCCTTATCAACACGGACT